AGTTTTTTGTGTGGGTCCATTTCATGCCTGTTTTCTCGCTGCCCACTGTCTGTCGCATTTGTTTAATCTACTGCAATCAGAAAAGCTATTGGATATGGTAGGCGTGTGTGTGAACGAGGATACACATATGTGCATGCTGCCTACTTTCCTGGATTCTGCAGGTATGAAACGATCAGCTATGAGGCGATTGTTCATGCCGTTGAAGTCAGTTTTTAATCTGAGTATCACCATAATGTCTTGTTATATTCTCAGTATTATTACTGTTATTTCCTTGAATTCCTAGAGCAACATAGGACTTCAACCACACGTCTCCATTTCCTCCGGTTCTCTTCCAACGTTTTCACCTGGCTGCGTGTCCGCCCACATGCTTTCATCATCCGGCCTTCACATCAACTTCTCATTCACCTTTAGATCTATTCTTTTTTAGAAAAATTCAAAACTATCTTTTACACTAGGTTTTACCAGTTCGTTATGCAGAGGCTTCAAGGGTTTCACCAAACATTTTGCTGTTGTGCAATATGGAGAATTACACATGTCCAACACTGGTCCAAAAGGCGAACCATCTTTATTCACTTTTGTTAGTCTTTATAATCTTGGTGTGACCGTAAGCGTAGGCTTGAACGATGCAGATAAACCTTCTGGGATGGTACCTTGTTGTTTAAGTATTTTTAGTGACTCACTTTGTTGTTTCTTCACTTTTTCCGCCGAACTAACAGAAGATGAAATATTTTGAAATTTTCGGTGATCACTGAGGATTTCATTCGTCTTAACTAGATATTCTGCTTTATTCACGTTTACTGCTTCAGAACCTTTATCAGGTTTAGTTATCATTAAATTCTCATTCTTTCGCAGATTATCCTGGGCTTACCTACGTTTCCTGGTTATTAAGATACTTAATTTCCACTTGCTACATATATATTTATATCAGCAGTCGACGAAAGTTTTAACCAAGACTTTAAAGTGCCTCAGCTGATGAAGGTATCAAACATTCAGTTTGAGTATAAAGGTCTTCTAAGCGAACTTGCATATCCATCTTATTAATTTTAATACGGTTATCACAAAACTTAGTACCAAGTGGTAATACTTGCGAATCTACATCATCAAGGATAACATCTGAGAAGTTATACACATAACGACCAGAATTTGGATGAAATCACATCTCTGAAATTTTGCTTTCCGGGCTTCGTAATCATACAGCACGTCTCTTTTTGTCTCTTGCCAGCAGCCTGGATCATGTAGTCTAGAAACGATTTCTTTAAGTGTTCTGGGAGCTCATCCACAGAATAGAAACTTGCTGTAACATTGTTTGTCAATTCCGTGATACATGATCTCAGGGAGGAAATCTGATTCATTGCCTGGCGCCTAAGTATCTTACCATTCTGTCGAATCCACTAGGATGCAATGACTTCTAATAGGACTTTGGGCACCACCTTTATTTCACGTTCGACAAATAAAGACAAAGTACCTAATTTTGCCTCCTATATGTGTTTCTACCAAATTAACTGCAACTGCATACAGTTAGGCAGGTTTATCATCGTATTTCCGAACATCATCCTGAATGGTTCAGCAAGGGACAAACAGGATCTATTCGTAGCTCTATTTTAGCACACCTTGTAGATAGTGAACATAAAGTTGATGTCTATACAGCATTTGAAATTATTTATCGCACTCCTACTAATCTTAATTTTGCTTTACGAGTTCATCTTCTACAGAAAGCTGAAGCCAAAGAAATCCACCTGAAGAAGACAAACCTGTGTGTTCAGAAGAAATTCGTACACCCACTTCACTTAACTTGGCCATCGTGATATGAATGTATAAACCGAACTACTTCGCTCTCACCCTAAGCCTTTTAGAAATTATAATTGTCAAAATTGTTTTATCACTTTTCTGAATCATTCATCTCTCAGTACAAGTTTTCATTGTCCAAATCGTTTTATTTTTCTCCAAGATCTGTGACATGGTCAACTTGAACACTCGCTTATTCTGTAGTAACTCTTCATTTCTTCAAAATTGTGCATCATGGAATCCACTTGTTGTAACCAGTTCTACACTTCAATTGTGTGTAATAATTTCCTTCGTTAATTAGCACCCTCCTTGACACGTTGATACTGACTAATTATTGTTAACAAACATATCGCCACTTGATTGGTAAAATGTTGTGTATTGCATTAAAATGTGATATATATATATTTGAGTAGAGCTAGAGATGAGAATGTAACTGAAAAGTAAATACCTTTCGCTGCTGAATTCCTTTCTTTTCTTAAGGTCTTACTTGGTATGTTTTTCAGCATCGAATTCTTTGGAGCAACAGTTAAATGTGCTCAATGAATATGTGAACTACACGTTGTCTTGTCAGATCTATTGATAGGAATCAAATTCAAATAGCAATGGTCTTATGATTTATCATGTGCTTCATGGTGTGATTGGAAGACTGTGTTCTCACCATGGTCTTGGTTTAACAGTATCCTATCAGTCATATACCAGTTTTGTCTTTTCATATTTACGTGGCTCAGTGTAGCCGAAGGTTCAATTAACGAATACGTGTATCTAACACTTTATAGTTGAGTTGTTCACCCCATCAGTATTATTATTACAACCACGCATAAATCAACTCGGTCAAATCAAATGTTGACGCGATCACATCAGCTGAAGACGGGGTCATAACAAATAGGCAACGAGGTTATTCAGTTCGTTGCTGAGATAAAAAATATCTGTCTTATACTCCGTTTAGCTCCTGTAGTTCACCCACTGGAAAATGACAAAAGCATTTTTTTAGTGTGTAAAATATTCTCTGCACATTTCTTGCTGGTCTCTGCAACAAACTCTCTGTGCTATCATCTCTGGCTTTCTGATTTATTCATACGTTACCCTGGGAAAGAACTCATATCAGCGATTTCCATCAAGGAATTATGGATGTATTCAAGTTCACTTAGTAAATAGTATTCCACGGCTTGTCATTCCCTTCTCACGACATTTAACAGCATCTACTCTATATTAAATAGGCAGATAACTAAAAAAATGTGTGTATTGCACTGTGAATAGACTTTTCTAATACCCACCTCTCCTAAGTTACCTATCTCACTTGCATACGAAGACATCCAGGAAACGTAGTCTGCTATCCCCCTCCTCTGCATTGGTAACAATATGTGAAGAGTAGATGCTATTACATTCCATGGACAACAATTCATTTATATTTACATTCTGACTCATTAAAATAAATGTATCATCACAGTGACAATAGCCCTCACCCATGTCATTGATTGCATTTTTCATGAGTACTTTTTCAAATTTGTTAAAAATCATGACTAATGTCAAGTTAAGTCAACTTCGCTATTTTCAAATTAGTCATTGAATTAACGGCAGACTTATTTATAGTGATTCCATCTAACTCTCCGTGAAGACAAACTGTACTTACGTAGTATTTCACTGCTAACCAATGTTAAACCGACACATATATTGCTTACCCTTAAAATAAAAATTAATTTCTTGATTTCAGTCTGTATTGCTGACTTACGAACTGAAAGATGTAAAATTAATGCCATAAAAATGCCCTAAAGAAACTCATTCCACTCACCATGTCAACAGATTTATACAAATTTTCAATAATATGGCTCTGATACAAATATTCATAAACCAAAAGTATCCAATACAGTCCTACGGGAGGCCAGTCGACAGCCTGAATACCACAGCGTTAACGCCTCTGACTTCAGCACTAGGTGACACGGGTTCGAATATCAGAAGAGAAATGAGTTCCTTCATGGCAAAAAACCTAGGTCCAAGTCTTCGTGGATACAATATTTACAAGCATCCTCATTTTGTCTGTTGGAGAAATGAACTACAGTTAGGGTGAAATATTGAAATGTGACACTGAAATATCCGTTAGCACATATTCTTCGTATTCTGCTGCCTTTGTATTCCTTTCATGCTTTTCATCTATTATCTCACAAGGATCTTTCATGTCTTCCCTTCGCATTCGAATCCCTTACTCCACCATTCAATATTCTTGTAGAAGACAGAGAACACAAAGTGCTACTTATAAAATTGCTTCAGTAGCACACTCCACAACATCATCTCGATACTATTTTTACAAATCAGTTTTACTCACAAATGTATTATTGAAAAGTAACACACATATATAACAAACTATAAAGAATCCCGTATAACTGCGTTTTTAATAAGTTCCAAAATGCAGCAGTTGTTGAAACTTTCGTTCAACAATTTCATTGTTGATATTGACTGTTTATTTAATGGCGGCTGGGAGGAAAGTTGACAAACTTCATTTTATAATTTATTAAGAATAGACCCTTACCAAAAGCAGAAAGTAGTTCTCTTAACAGAGGCGTAATCAAGAAGTCTCCCTACTCATACCATTGGTTTATACTTATGAAAATTTGCATAATTTTAAGAGCAGCTCAAACCAGTCAGTAAAGATTAAAGCCATCGAACCTAGGTAAGCTATTTATTATGGCGCAAAGGCACAGCGCTGAACCACGCATTTATTCAACCAATTAAATCAGCCATCTACTGGCTTAACATTCCGAGGTACGTAATATTTATTTACAATACATTTTTGTATGGTAAATTTCGATTGTTCTCACCGACTCTGACCAGCCTGTCTTGTATCTGTAGTAGGTTGACTTTAAGGGTCAAATGAGATCCAAAATCAGAAATAATCATTCGGTGTTCAGATAGGTGACATACTGCCCTTTCGTACATAATCTCAGTCGCAGAATTATTCCTGGTACCGGTCTTATAAACCCATATCGAATTTTGGAGACGTTATCAAAACTCATATCGGTCGTTCAAAAGATACGGATCATAAGATTGCATATTTTGATCTCATCTGTTACTGAATTGTGAAAATGAATCGTCTGATCGTTGCTGGTCATTTGATTCACCTGTCTATGATACACCTGACCAGTTTTAAGCAAAACAAAATAGATATTCTAAATTCCATTATCAAACAAAATAAATAAAATCACATGAGAATGCCTTCTAAGTTCCTCTCTTTTACGTATATTGTTTTAATTTTTCTGAGTTAATATTTGTAGCTTCAAGATAATCAAACGAGACCCTTACTTTAAAGGCATTAAAGTACATTCACTTTTAACTATTACAGTTTCTGATTAACACATGATTTGATGACAAAAACAAAAATGAAATGAATTCATATGACGTGAAATAACTTTTAGATAAGCTTTGGTAAATATTTAAATATATTTCTCTTTCTATCATACAATCTTACAAATATTATGATATATATATTTGCAATACATTACACTGATTAAGATGTCTAGGATGACAACTGATGATGATCATCACCTCACAGGTTAAATACATTACATGAAGAAAAGGTGAGATAGAGAGGTCAACTGTTTAACCAGATATTTTAAGAAAGAAGAAATACCAGCTATTGTTTCTTTTCATGTCCTCTTGATCCTGGAGGACATTTTGTTATATCGTATTGTGTTAAACGATCAATAACTGCAAGAATTTCTTCTTGTGTCATCTTTTTCATATTCGGTTTGGCAATACTCTCAGGTGAACATCCAAAATCGTATCGATTAAAACCCAACATTATTCTTGCTGATGTACACTCAACAGGATATTTATTTTTATCTAAGTTAGCTAGTCTTTCAATAATTTCATCAATTTTAGCTTTATCATATTTTACAGACTGGGCGTTGATTGACTGAGAAGAGTTTCTCCTGGTTTTTGAAAGTTTTTCATTCATTGATCTGTTTTCTACCTAAGTTGGGGAAAAAGTATTGGTGATAATACAAAGATATAGATATGAGATTGAGATAACAAGATTGAAATGAACTGCCGCCAATCAATTTTTGTGTCACTTTTGTAAATTTGATTTCCCCTCACTGTGTTATTGTGGTGAGAGCTGTCTGTAAGCCGAAATCGTAGACAACAATTTACGTCAATGTTCAAGTCCCGAATCAGGGTCATGAGGAAAAAAATAACAAAGCTTAACCTAGAGGAACTCATCAGCCAATCACAGCAAACTTAACGTGTGCAAACGCGATTGGCAGATGTATGGCTTAACTTTCTGAGAAACGGCCGCAGGCAGAACCGAATAACCTTGAGCAAGAAAACTACCAATCAGAAGAGGCTACTTCTCCGCTAACAATAATGCTAATAATAATGTTCATAAAATTCTATAATTACTTCTTGATTTTCTCAATAAACGATCTGTTTCCTGGCTCTTGTCTTCTGTCGTTACAGTATGAGATCTATACCTTTATTAGTGAAGAACATCAGTTCACTCTAGCTAACTGAGTTTCAATATATACCTTTGTACAGATGTGCAGCGCTTCTAGTTTTCACAAATGTTGAGGAAAGTAAGAAAAATTAGATTTCAAATTACTATAATAAGCACAGATGTGCTGAAGAAAGAATAGCAAAGTGGGAAAACAAAAGGGTCAAGTGGATATTACAGATCACAAAGTGTGAATGCATCAGCACAATTCAGAACGATTTTGAGCCATATCACTTATCTTCTCCAGCCACCGGACCTTAGCATCCCAGGGACTGCAACCAGGAGATCTACACCTTTCAACGTCGCCCAGACTAAGTGTCAAAGACCTTATGGATCGATAACAGGCTTTGATTATACCACCTCTTACTGTTTCCAACCCAACCCTATTTCAGCTAATATTCTTCTTCAAGGAAGATAGTGGGTCTAGAGATCTATGAGTTAATACATTATGAGTGAACTTCCAGAAGATATTAAACTTTTGAAATCTATAAATAACATTTTCGTTTCCATTATGCAATTGTGCCTACCCTGATCAACAAATTTTTCAAATACACTGATGACTGCCTTGACAATAACCACTCTTAATGCTGACTAAAACTTTGTCAGTCAAGGTCGTGATGTGTTTACCAAGCTAAAAGACTTACCAAAGCAGTACAATTTGAAGTGATGTTTATCTGTAGGAGGCTATAGGCAAGCAGTTATGTACCCACCTTTCATGCTTATCGAAAACCGATACCCTGGATATTGACAAATTTCGAAGAACTAGTGTCCCCTCACGAATGTGAACTCAAATCACAATGTGCTATTGTCAGCCATTAGTTGCCGCTAACATAAAAATTAATGTTTGCAGTGTATTGAAGTATACTGGGATTTATCTGAAGTACATTGACTTTCAGAATACTAAACTTTAAACTTTAAAAGTATTTTCAGTATAGGTCTCGTCATGTTCTAACATAAAACAGTCATTCTAGACCAAGGGGTGCTGAACTGCTGTTTCGTCTTGGCGCTGGACCATTTAGAAGTGCCCACTGGAACCTATACGCTTCGCGTTACAAGGTGATTCAGCTGACCAATCAACCGCTGCTTCTTAAATTTAATGATCGGTCTATTCCAAACACTATCAATTCTTGTGACATACAGTGATGTAAGTCCATGGCGACTTCTAAACTGGAATTAAATTGAACTCCCTACAGAACCCCAAATATGAATATCAATTTCCTGGTCAATATTGGCTTATGTGTGAACGTTCTGAAGTTCTTTTGAGAAGTCGTTGCCGATAGGGTACACCATTTTGAGTGAGAAAAGGATGCTCATGGATAGCAATAGTTCAGTCTCCAATTTGTAATATTTTCAAGTTCTTTCCCTCATATAACTCAGTGGCAATCGATTATAATCTTAACTCTTATCTGTCATACCTCTTCCCCCGTATCCATCTCTCATCAAAGACCAACCATTTTGCTGCAGCACAACCAGTCAACGGAAAATGCAATACTTAACCTAAAACCAAATAATGATTGACACCCGTTGTACAAGAGGTGGTTCTCCAAACAGCCTTTACGATCAATCACATAATGCTTTAGCGTTTGAGTCGATGGGTGCAGGCTTCAATTCTCAGTGGGAATAACATCACAGGATTCCACTACTAGTCACTGCTAACTAAACTAACTGTATGTTGAGTATTGAACTGAAAAGTTCTACCAAAAGTTGAATGAATTCATTAAATCCTGCTCTATTAACCCTTATTGCCCATCTTAAACTCATATTGAGAAATAAATATCTCGTATTTGTCTTTAGCAATAATCAGTTCACAATTTGGAAAACCACTAATCACAGTGGAATGCAAGTACGTTCAGAAGACGAAACACGTGTCCAGTATTCACCTACTTCAATAGACTGCCTAATGGAAGCAAAACCATCAACAAAAAAATACTTAAAATGGCAGACTTTTAACTCTAAAATAACTTTAATTGTTTCTAGCTAGGTGTACTTTTGTCTGAAAATGCTGAATACTGTACGTGTCATATGAGATTTGTAATGATTACTATTTCTAGGTCAGCTGTTGATTAACTCGATTACGCATTGCATAGCTTGTAAATATAATGTGACTCAGTAGATTTAAGCGTAGACAAAATGATATTGAACACAGTAGGGCAGCTTAATGCTGAATATGAATATTTTCCTGCAGATACCTTCTGCCTCAATGAGGCACGGAAATATCAGACAAGACAAAGACCGGCCTGTGATTGCAATAACAACTTTGTGAGATGAAAATACACCATATGCATATTTATATGTATATAGTTATGCTAGGTTAGTGGTGGAATATCTATTAATCTGATTGTATGTATCAGATCAAAGATCGTCTTATGAACTGTATCAAAACATCTCAAAATAGCCTTGGAAAGGACTTTTAACACAGCTAAGTTATGCTGTTCATTCACCAGCCAACCATTACTTACTTCACAAAATAAAGAAACAAAGTGCTCAGGTTCTCGTCTTCCATGTGCATTTACCAGTTTAACTGTTTCTATGAAGTTATTTACACTAGGCGTACGATTAGGTAAGTTCATTGTTGAATTCCAAAACACTATCCACCTTGGTTAGACAAAGGACCGAATAAAGTGATCAGTAGCTCAAGACAAGCTCATCTCGTCAATACACAACATCAAGTGGACACCGACAGAGTTTTTGAAGTCATTTATCGTATTTCAGCCAACCTTCTGTATACTTTACGAGTACGAGTACACACCTACTGTACCTACTGACAGTTACAGATAACTTTTTTATCGATTATATTGTATGTGTAAAAATATAACTGTTGTATATTTCAATTAATATTGTTATACAAAGCAGTTATTCGTCTAAGTATGAAATTTCGTACTTCTTTATTCAATAATACCGTTTTTATTTATTTGAAATGGTGCAACAGTATTTATTTTAACTTGTCAAATTAAAAGAGTTCATGCTTTACATTGGCATAGGTGTATTATCTCAGCTGGATGCTCATTCCATCGTATTTAAGACTAGCCAGCTGGATGTAACTGTTCGCGGGATTTCATCATGAGCTGACATTGGTTAGAGAACCAATGGAAAACCTGGGAGTACTGAACAGCTGTTTCGTCCCAGTTTGTGACTGGGGTTTGAACCCAGGACCTTCTGGTTACAAGGTGAGCTCGTAGACCATTAAGCCACTGGGACCCGAATCAATGGCCAGTCCATGAATTCCAGCTTCTGCCAATTCACGACATAACGCGACCGCTAGCCAATGTCTTTGGCGATTATTTGTCCTCACACCCATCCTGCTACACTCTACTGGTCACGACCTCCCACTAGAACCCCAGGTAACTACTTACCTACCAATGTCAGATCATGATGAAATCCTGTAACCAATCATTCAAATCCCTGAAAACCAATACTTGAATATGAATGTACTTGTGATGTCCATTGAGTGATTGTGTTTCTACTAAGACTTGAAAATTGCATCCATTGTCACAAACACTGAAATGTTATCCATTAGGCGACTTGTGGGGTCACCATCACTAATTAGGAAAGGAGATAAACGCAGCTAATCAGTCCCAAATCGGATGAAATGCTAATCCTGGATTCAACTGTTAGTCCATGTCAACTAAAATTACATCATTTTAATCCCCAGATTTCATTGAGGCGTCAATATGTCAACAGAGACCGGCTACACAACACAATCAATTGATGGGAAATGAAGACTTACAAAAATGCAAAGTATGATTGAAATTCATCGAAATTATTCTGGTATCCAGTCATTCACTACCCATTATTCTATTTGTCTATGTAATTTGTGGTGCTCTCAAACATCAGAATAGCATGTAATCACATTTTCCTCACAACCACACACAAACACACGCCAGCAAAAGTCATTTGTCTTATGTAAGTACATACTCCAAGTGGTGACAGCAAGTAAACAAGGAAGAGGTCAAAAGTCTCATATCTCAAAAGGTCAATACCTCATTCTCTGAACAACATTATCCTACCCACATGAAGAAAGATTATATGTTGTGTACACTGATTACGTTTAGATATTACGAATGACTTTCATGGCTATCAGGGATACATGGAACAGAAAAATGAACGAAATTCGATCACCAAGGGTACCATGAACAGTTACTTTCATGCATTTTTTCAATACACCAGGGCACACGTTTAAGCAGGGAAAAGTCAACAACGAAATTATCAATGTGTGCTTCATTTTGATCATGCATTGAAACCAGTTAGAAGTGTTTCAGAGACTTGAGGATTTATGCCTAAGATCACTTCATTGTAGTCTACCAGTTGCTTCTGAAAAAACAAAAGAAATCCTTCTTTTATTATTATATATTTCTATTACTTGTCCCATTGGATTCCGAGTGAAACATAAAGCCGTAGCAGCGTATCACTATTCTACTCGGTTCCCTATCATCACCTTCAGGCGACTACATCACTACCCGCAGGTTTTCATTCTTCTTCAC